CTAGGATGGTTAAAATAAACCGCGACATGAGAGTATGAAAACCCTAACCAGGAGACTGGGTCACAAATACCGTTAGACTCCCTGGATGGGAACCCCGAGATCATGGTAACCCGTGGTTACAGACACTAAGTGATATGGCTGAGTGTCGCAAACAGTGGCACTCGTGCATCTACTCACTATTCTTGCAACCTCAGTCTATGAGAATTATCTCTTCTTGTTGACCCTACTCTCAACATTCCAATCTTCATTCTGCTCTGTTATCCAAATGGGCAGCCAAAATACAGCAACCAAAACCGGCGCATGAAAATGCATGGTTAATGGTTGTCACGACTGAAACTGGAGGAAAGTTACTGACAACCGATTAACTGTATCACAGACAGAATTTCTCCACATTAAGATCAATTTATTCGCATTCCTTCCTTGATTCATTATTCGAATAGTTCCGAACTCATTTCAAAAAATTCCTTTGACTGTAACTTTCTCATACCTCCTGATTATTACCCTCAAAATCAAACACATTGCAAATACAGCCGGTGTAAAGCATCGACCAATCAGACAGACATTTGCGGTGGTTATCGTTTGGGTAACAATAGAATGGGTAATCAATCATGAAGTAACCGGCGTAAAGAATTGTAAATATTTAAGCAGAAACCAAATCGCGCCCCACAGAATACTTGAATGAATGACCAACGACCATGTGGGCCATCGCAGTGACGAAACTCGTATTCGCCTCCTACTCACATATAAGACAGGTGTTACTCTCCACCAGGAACGCATAACTACTGCCTTTTGCTGCCACATTTGACGTCTACTTGCTCCGCGGCCCACCACCCAACCCTGATATAAATCAGCAACGTCGAATGCAACCGCGTATACACCATCCTCGCAAAAATTTCGATTTGCGTATTCTTCAAAACTTCATGCATCACATCTCAGACCCGATGTTCACAAAAATTGCTCCCGTGTGCTGAACATGCTGGAAAGTTGCTGATTTTCGTTGGGTTTGTGAGTGTGTACGAGCGTTTGCGTCTGTAAGCAACACTCTGGACGATCAAATTAGTGCTTCCAATTTAGCATAAGCACACACATGGAAAACAACGAATATGTTATGCTCTTTACAATATATCTATATACACAAACAAAGGAACAACAAAATAGCTCGGAACAACAACAACACTCAAACATTTGTCGATCTGGGCGTGTAATCTGTCATCTTCAGACTGACGGGTTTGCTGGCTGTCTATCGTTTAACTTACATGAACTCGTGTTCTGTGTGGAGGGAGGTGAACGGAACTGAGTGGACTTGTTCGTGGTCGGGAGCGGAATCGTGTGCAGGCTGCTGCACGCGTAGATAAAGAGCGGGGTGGCGATTCAGAGACGATACAAAATTGTTAAAAAGCCACACAGCTGTCACCGATCAAACCAGTCTTTTGGCTGGTGATACCATCAATGACCGTGGGCGCGGGCGTACACGAATTCACAAGCTTATACAAACAGCAGGGGGTTTGGTGAATGTGGGGTAACTAGGCCCGTGGGAGGAGTCTGAAACAATGAATACGACGTAACTATTCTTGCAGCGTTCTACCCCTCTGTTCTTAGAATAACACGTCCACTTGAAACTCGGTGCTTGTTCTCCACCGTTTATCCTAACCCCTGCCGGGCACACCGATGACCTGTTCAGGTCGAGCGTGGGAAAATTCTTCGCCTTTTACGTGCAATAGCTTGAAACGCAACTATTCACCCATGTGACACCCAATGAATGGGAGTACTGGAAGGGGTCCGAGTCAGGGCAGCGCCCAGCCATAAACACATGCATGTAAAACGTGGGTTGAACAAGAGTGGTAACAACCACTGGATGACGAAGGCATAGTAGATGAAAAAGATCACCAGAAGGATAACCGAAGTGTGGAATGCAACTTATGACTCAGTTCTTTTCAACTTGATTACACCCTCTGTTATTACAAGTTCAACTTGATGGAACAAACGAAATATGGTAGAGAATCAGGATGAATCGTAATTCAAGCAGATAGCTTTTTCTCCGGGACCAAAATGATCAATCTGCTGTGGCTCCCTAAAATTGGTGTCTAATCTAGCAAAACACAATGACAATAATAAGTCGTTTCCACCTCATCGGTTTACTGATGCAGATGCGGTATTCATTTGGTGACCAAGTACTCGTAATTCCAGAAAATTATTACCCAATCGTTTTCGAACAAACGGGTTGGAACTTGAACCATCAATTCTCACTCTTTGAGTCTTTTTCTTCACAAGCCACTGAACACAGCCCCTGTCAGCAATTAGCGCTCACGGAAATCCGCTATCGCGACTTGTTCCAAAACAAGTCTTTTGGCATAAGCAGACCCCCCCCCCTCACACACACACACACACAAAGAATACGCGAAATATTTGTCGGTGGAATAATGCCCTTACTAGTTAGACTAGATAGGTTTACCTGTCACATTGGGTGAGCTTCAAAATTCGTCCCGCTACAGTCAACGATCGGACCAAGATGATCAAATAGTCAAGGTTATTCCTGTATCATCTCCGCGGTCATAAATTAACAACCAATCAACACCGGTTAATTCTATTCACTTTGCATTTCCTACTCCGCCGTCCAACTGACCGCGACAATAGTACCATTGTCTATTCAGTGGAAACGGAGTACCATTATTAGTTCGCATAGCCAAATCCGTTAACTGTATTCAGTAGCCTGCACTTCAAGTGGGTATAAATCAGAACCCGCAAGCGAATTTCCTCGACAGATTTCTGTGCTGTGTATCTGCAACTTCTAAAATATATTTAATTGCCACACGTCTATCGAACGGTTTAAACCTAGTTTTTTCATTGTTAGAAAACATAGTACCGAACAAGCTCGTTTACGTGATTCTTCTACAGGCTAATATATCACAATTTATATCAAACTGTTTAGAATCGAGAGAAATCACGACAAGTTGGAAACGAAATAATCAACAGTCCAGTTCCACAACCAGATGTTGCTCACGCTTTGGTCCTCACACATGTGCACTGGTTCTGGTCATCAGGGTTGGGGGTGGCTATATCGTGTGTGGTGCTGGCTATGGAAAACCAAGTGTTCTTACGAATTGTTTTTGGGAGCATAGGGAGGATTACGTAGGCGGATTCTGATCGCTTCCGTTGTGGTCTAAATAAGACTGCTAATCCTCTTAGCTCGGCGGTTGCGAACTAATTTGAGAGGTCGAAACGCCTCGGCCACATAAGCTACGTGGTTTGATTTCACTAGGTGTGAAACGATTGAGCTGTTGGTAGTCCTAATTACTCCACTATTCAACCAGGTCCAGTGGTGCTGCTCGAGCGGCCAACGTACCTTGTCCCACAAGAACAGGTGAATGAGTACACAGAGACAGCAGAAACAGGCAATTTATCTGAGTTGAAAGCACAAAAGTGGCTCGGAGATGAACACTACGCAGTTTTGCTGCGTGTAATGCTTTTTCCACAACTGTACTTAGCTTACGTGACACCATCTCGATAGTTGTGTCGCCCTTGAAAGGCAACGATATGTAAACCGGTTTCTTCTCCGCACTAGTATTCTTATTTGGCAACCGGTGACGCTCCAAAATGTTGTCCACAAATCACTCTAGGTATCCATTTTGAAGGACATCTAGAATGAACCTCAATTCTGTATCGACGGTATCGTACGTACCTACACTCCGCGCTCTGGTAGCGAGGCACTGGATTAGGTTTCTTTCCCGTTTCAAAGGCACAGTTTTTGAAGTGGATATACTGATTGTTCCACGATGGCTTCCTGTGGATGGCGCGTTGGATAGTTCCGTCTGATCGACGGCTTAGTAGAACGTCCAGAAATGCGAGCTCCTCATTCTTTGTTCTCAAGAGTAAACTTAATGTTTGGATGAGCTGAATTAAACACTTTCAAGAGTTTTGACAGATGCACACTGTCATTGAGAAAGCACAAAATATCATCTACATAGCGGTTGTAAAATGTGCAACGATCGATTGCTCGTTTTAGGATGTTATTCTCCAGCTTCGCCATGAAGATATCTGGGAACAGTGGACCCAGAGGACATCCCATTGCTACCCCACCTATTTAGCGATAAACCTCATCATTGAATTTGAACTGTATGTTGTGTGTGCAAAAGTATAGTAATTGTTTGAGATCACCGATTGGTATTTCAATTTCACAATTATTCCTTTGTATGTGATCACATATATATCCAATAAGTTCAACAACGGGAACGTTTGTGAATAGTGAACTGACGTCAAGTGATATCATGCGTATTCCGTTTATGTTTGTGTCTTTAATCCTAGCCACCAAGTCGCAGGAATCCTTTGATGAGTGATTGGTAAGCTGTGCTCTCATGGGTTCCCGAATCGCTACCAGCCACCTGGCCCAAACAGGTAAGGGGAGTTACTCATGTCTAGGATCGGTCGGAGAAGCACTCTATTTTTGTATCTTTGGTAAGCCACCGCTAATGATCCGGACCACTGCACGTGTGAGGACCAAAGCGTGAGCAACATCCGGTTATGGAACTGGACTGCTGATTATTTCTCTTCCAACTTATCATATTCTCTCCAACCCACCCACCCCCCTTCTGAACAGTTTAATTAAAATTGTGATGTTTTAGTCTGTAGAAGAATCACCGCAAACGAGCTTGTTTATAAAGCTGTGCGTTTCTTACAATGTGTAATGATGGTATATTCGGACAATGGAAGCAAGCCAAAGACCCAATCCCACTAAGAGGATTTTTCATTGTTTTTCGTGTTCTTCAATTTCTTTTCTTATAAACCTGTAATTAAGGTCCCATGGGTGGACGAATCGGTTTTTCTGAAATGGAGAACAGGAAATGTTGCTTACAGAAGGGAGAGATAGGTAAAAATGAGTGCCAGGGGGGATTAACTCCGAATGCCTGTGCTCCAATTTCTAGTGATGAATTCCGTCAAAAAACCAAAATCAGTCCGTAATCAACACGGTCTGTAATCGGCCCCATCTTGTTTTTGAATGCTCTTCAATCCCCTTCTTGTCGACGATACCCAGCTGCATACTTGGGCTCCTCATCTCTCAACGCGTCATCTTTAAGCGATCGGATACCCAGATCAACCACTCATTACACAAGAACATCAAACAGAATCAATTTTGTGCTTGTGACCGCAGTCAATCACGGTCGAATTCACTAGATGAAAATAAGTGCTACGCAGAATGACTTTTTTGCCAGGATCAAGGGCGCTAGAAAATGACATTAAGCAGTGTCGTGAATCGTGTTACCGCGAGAGAAGTGCAGTACAACGAATCGTGAAGAATGCACACCCATGAAGAACACGCAGCACATAGAATAAACCGTACACATTGGGATTAGGAGAATCCGCTAAATGGACTGGAAAAACAACGTAAAGGAGATGTGTCGCTAAGCTACACAAAAACAGGGCCATTTAAAACCGGTGTAGTTCTTTCTGATTTACTTCAAATCCATTCCACGGAGACAATAAACTCATACTTGTGTTGCAATGGCATTTGCTGTGACAATTAAAATATGAACGAAGAAAAGCATTCCGAGTGAACTGTGCAAATGCTACACCGATGTACCGAGTGTTGAGTACATGTCCTAAATGAGTGGGACATGTCAATGATAAAAATCAGTCTTCGAGTAATTGTATCGCGCTTTGACCGGTGTTCCAAAACGGGTGTCTCATGACAACAAAGAGGCAATTTGATCGCCAAAAGTATTAGGCCTATGCAGGATAGCGACTCTAATGTGTTTCAAATTACGGTCATATTTTATACTTTGAAATTAGCAACATTAAACATCAATGCTTATTCTCTACCTCGAATGGGGTATTTTCCAATCATTTGGAACCTATAAGCGGCTCATCCAGTTCAACCGTCCACTCGCTAACAAAAACAGAGCACCAGGGTTGAGAAGTAAAACTGAATTCTTCAAACGCAACTGTATCCGTTGCTCTAGTCTGCTGCTGAACGAAAAAATGAGGCCTTTTACCGATTAGAGTAAAAAAAATGAATGGAAACATGGCAAACAAAGGCGCGTTTTGATAGACATGTGAGATGAAAGTTAGTGAAAATGTGGCGACCAAATGACGCCCTATTCTACGGAGGCCGCTCGACTTATTCGCGGTTATGTTTTGCAGCTGATTGCATGCGTAGAAGGGGACCTGATTACAACACTTGGATGATGCGCAAATAGATCAACTGCGTAGATTTGATAAACCCCGTCAATAATCCTAAAAGCAGAAAACAGAGTATTCAATCAAAAGTAGGCACAAATTCCCGTATAGAATGTAAACAGGAGTGAGATGTGAAAATCTAGTGGTCGATTGCGCATCACTAGTAAGTATATACAGTGCTTGACCGCGGGAGGAGAATTACAATATGGAATGGGACTGCAGATCACTATTAGTTCCAGTTGGCAATAGAGTACGGTATGGTGGAAACGAGTAGATGCATAACTGGAAGTTGGGATCAGGAATCCGCCGCAAATCGATCTAAAACTACTGAAACATAAAGCCCCCTTTGGACGCAGTAGACACACCGGAACCACTTGTGGATGAATTGCTAGCAGCGGAAGAGTCTGAAGATGAGTTGTTCGAGTTAGAACCGAACATGTTGAACAGGCCAAAACCACCAGAACCGCCACTTCCCGATCCCGTATCACTCGGACCTCCTCCACCTTCCCCAAATCCGGCTGCATCGGACTGGCTTTCTGGCGGAGGTTCTGCAAGGGAGCGGGATCACCAACGGAAAGAATAATGGAAAGTTAGAGGTAAATGTTCAGCTTAAACTTGACGCGAAATAACGCATAGTCTGAAGTGAGAGTGATAAAATGGCACAGAATAGCGGTGGGTGAAAAATGAGGCAGGAATGATAACAACACGCATTTGCCCATTTGTCAACCAACAAACACTACCATGCGCCACGAATGCGCCGTGTTGACAAGTATGTGGTGTGAAACCGCTCGGAAAGAACACGATGCATTGAAACGAAATGCATAGAAGCGAACAGACACGCTGCTGATTGTGTGTATGGCCGGTGTAAAACATGGTTAGTTAGGAAAGGTAATGGACGAAGATTAACAAGATGTGCGGTTACCGAATAAGCCCATGCGCACACGGTCATAGTCACTGACCAGTTGGCGAAGTTAGCAAAGCTCAACTTTCCGCCTCCTCCCTCTGCCCGTCAAATAACTGTGAAACACATGAGTAAACGAACAGTTCACTGTCCGGTTGTCTTCGGAGTGGGAAAACACAAAACCCATATGCAAGCACACTGGACAACTGGAACGTAGAACAATGTGTACTTGTCATGGCTCCGTGTTTGGTAACGGAATACAACTGTGCATGTCCGAGAGTTTTGTTCATGGTGATCCCGTTCGAGAGAAAAATGAGCCGCGTTAAAATACACCTCCCAGGTTATACAACTCACGATATACATGTGAACGCTGTATACCCAACCATCCTTGTTGTCTGGAGGACGTGTGGGGCACAAAAATGCCATAAGAATCGTGCAGTACTGAGATGATGACCGAGGAGAATAGGCGTCGATGGTGAATGTTACAAGAAACGGTTACGGTTTGTGCATCAGAACTACCAGTGTCTACGCATACCCCGAAGGTGTGACCAGATAAAACCACGATTACAGTTTGCATAGGCATCATCGAAGAACATGTATGACAAAAGCCCAAGAAACGAACGACTAGGTAATGTATATGATAGAGCGAAGACTATAAATGCCGTAGGAAAACAAATGGTGCAATAGGAGAAAAAACAGCAAATAAAATAATTTTCCTAACCCTTTCAGGATCTATTCCGTACTATAAAGAGTCAAAA